ACTATATATTTTTAATGTGAAAAAGGAAACTGGTGTAAAAAAAAATAATACTTAAAATAAAACGATACACACACACACAATATAATATAATATAATATATATTATATAATATATATATATATATATATATTTATATATATATATATATACACACACACACACACACACACACACAACACACACACACACACACACACACACACACACACACACATATATATATATATATATTATATATAATATATAATATATATATATATTATATTATATATATACTCAAATCAGAATTCACGAATTCAAGTGATAAGCAAACCATAAAATCAAAAATATGATCATTACTTATCTCGAGTAATTTTGAAGAGCCAAGTTGTGTATATCATTGATTGCTTTAAAATCCGAAATCAGAGTATGATTTTTTTCTTTGCATTTTGAAAAAAAAAACATTTTTAATATATTTAAGATGCATTCTCTGACATAATTTAAAACAAGTATAGTCATTTATACGGCTAGTGAATTTCAAGTTTTTACTAACTGGTGAGGAATATATAATATATACATATATATATATATATATATATATATATATATATATATATATATATATATATTATATATGTATATATATATTTATATATATATATATATGATGTAAATATATACATATATTATAATATATATATATATATAATATAATATAGATAATATATACATATATATAATATACATATATCTATAACTATATTATTAAATGTATTATGTATGTATGATGTATGGATGTATATGTATTATATACATAATATTATATATATATATATATATATATATATATTATATGTGTGTGTGTGTGTGTGTGTGTGTGTGTGTGGTGTTGTATGTATTGTATGTATATGTATATCATCATCATCATCACATGGGGGCTGACGCCCGACGGGGCGCATAGCCGCATCCCACCTTCGCTTCCACCTACGAGGATCCCTCATGGCTAGGCGCCAGGCAGGGACTCGCCCATCTCTAGTTCTTCACGGCAGTTTGGTCGATCTGCCCAAGCCATGAACTTCCTCGGTCGTCCCCAAAGGCCTCCTCCACCCAGGGTTGTCTCAATAGAGACCTGATGGCAGGAATCATCCTGAGAAAGCGAAGCCAGGTGGCCATATAGCCTGAGTTGCGATCACGATTGTGCAGAAACAGGCTTGTGCCGTCTCACGGTGCAACCGTTGTTGGACACATGGTCCCGCCAACAGTACCCCATGATCTGGCGCAAGGACCTATTGCAAAAGCTTCAAAACGAGCCTCCAAGCACAGGACAATGTCCAGGTTTCGCTAACCGTATTAGCAAAAACTGCATTATCAGGGCCTTGAAACCCGTAGCTTGGTCCTTCGCACAGGTACGACATCTCCAAATACTCTTGTCGAGAGAGTTCATGACCCCTGCTGCCAGCCAATCCGTCTGCTGACTTCATGGCTAACAGCCCAGAGTTATGAACTACACTACCAAGTATGTAAAGCTCTCTGTGATTCAATGTCCTCGCCGCAAGCACGTACCGACTGAACAGGTTCTCCTATCAAGTCCCCAAAATTCCTGACCTTGGTCTTGGTCCAGGAGACCTCTAACCCAGGGCTTCGCTTCATTGCTAAATGCATCGAGAGCCGCTACTAGGGTTTCCAAAAGACTCAGATAGAATGGCAACGTCATCAGCAAAGTCAAGGTCTGTAATCTTGATATTGCCCAGCGTTGCCCCACAATGACTTTGAACAGTAGCTCTGCCAGTATCCAGTCCATGCAAGTGTTGAAAAAATTGTTGCAAGGACACAGCCTTGCCTCACTCCTGAACTAAACAGGAAAAGCTCGACAGGCCCCCACCACACTTTACAGCACTTTCAGTACCAGTATACAGGCTTGCTATTAGTTCCAATAATCCTTGTTGGTATTCCTCTCAGCCTCAGGATCTCCAAAGTGACTCCCGATGCACCGTATCCGAAACCCTTCTGAGTCGATGTTAGGCTGCGAGCAGCCCACGCCCGAACTCACGACGGCGCTCTACAATGACTCGAAGCGCGAGGATACCGTCTATTGTGGACTTACCAGGAGTGAATCCGGATGCTCCATCTCTGTGCCTCAGTAGATGGTCTCTGATACGTCTCAGAAGATGTGGGCGAGAACCTTGCCTGGTACACTGAGCAGCAGTTGATGCCTCGTGATTGCTGCAGTCCCCAACGGTCCCCCTTCCCCTTCCAGAGAGGATGACCACACCCTCAACAGGTCAGAGGAACGAACCGGACTGCCAGATGGCAGCCAGGACAGCATGTAACCCCCGTGCCATAGGTCACACCAGCCTTTACAGTTCAGCTGGTATGCCGCAGATACCAGCTGCTTACCACTCTTCAGCTTGGAAATCGCCCCCCTAACTTCAGTTAGGGAGGGAGTTCCTCACTGATAGGTGGATCCGGCAGCGGGATCTCGACACTACCCGCATCCAAGTTAACTGTTGTGGTCCACCTG